TTATAGGGAGGACATATACAGGCACACAGAGACATGAACAGAGACTGTAACACACTTTGTCCAAACATGTGAAAATGTAACTGAACTGGTCAAGGAATCACAGACCATCTGTCCAAATCTGCTGCTGTCTGGTGAGCCTGTGGTGTGCTGTCTTTGCTCTGCTTGTTTTGTTGGTTTAGTTATTGTGTTTTGGTCTGTTTAGTTGTTTCATTGTTTGCACACTGTTGTCCCTGGTATTGGTTTGGTTATTTCCCCCAAGAATTTTTACCTGTCTCAAGTTCTAATACCTGTTCCTTTTGTTTGTTTCTACAGTGCTGTAGGTGCGGCAGCGAGCGTGGCCGGCTCGACGGTGGAGGGTTTGGTGGTAGAGTTCCTCACCTGTGCTTCGTCACCCCCCATATTAGTGTGTTTGGTAAATTTTGCACTTCCTTCACTATTTATTTGCATCCCCTTTGTTGATTTGCTGTGTGAGTGTGTAGGGCACCGGAGTGTGGTGAGGTGCTCTATACCGGTTTAAATTTTCTCCCTTCCCTGCCTGCGGCCACACCTGCTAATCCTACGGCTCCTTTTCTTTTTTTGTGTTCCTGTTATTCATTTATATATGAGACAAATTGGAACTTGAGGCACTTATGTTTTCTATTGTTGTTTTTCTTTTCTCTTAACTTTCTCTTAATTTTAAATAAATTTGTAATCTTGGGGGAAATCCTTGTCTCAGTCCATCTTTTGTCACCTGTATCAGTAAGGTATCTGTGGATTAACTGTTTTACTGAGGTATTAAAGGGGGTCAGAAGTACCCGAATGTTTCAGTTAAATCCGGGCCTTGCCACGGCCCGGTCACACAAGGTGAAGGGGTTTTGAATGCTTTAGTTTATAATGTATGTTTTTTTTAAGTATGATGAACAAGAAATGTTCTGAACATTTGGGCTAATGTCAAATATTTGTTTGTGAATGAGGCAGAAATATGAGAACAATGTGGAAACATAGGAATGTAACATAGCACACATATCAATAAACAAAACCTTGCACTATCAAATATGAAAATCGAAACATAAAGCACCACCCAGTGTGTCGGAATATGAATATGATAATAACATAAATCAAGACTCAGAAATCAAGTTTCGCCCTAATTTCTCCCTCTGACAAAACATGCTTCCACACACACACACACACACACACACACACACACACACACACACACACACACACACACACACACGTATTTCACCCTACACTGTAATGCAATCAGTCCTGTGTAGTTTAATGTGTATAACAAGGCACTAACTATACTGGGGTTTGGAGGACTTATGTTGTTATAGGTTGTTATAGATAGTCAGCACATGGCACAGTTCACCAGTGTTGCATGAATGGATGGATGAGCTGAACTAATACAGGAACTAATACACACAGTGGGGTCTGAGACCACCAAGGCTATATCAGACTTTTGGACTTCACTGTACAAAGGGTGAATATTTCAACAGTATTTGTTTATCTTGTTTACAAGCGCCTTAAAATGTACAAACTCCCTACAGAATATAAGCTTTACTGTAGGTACTGCCATACATGATAAATAACACTAGTTCACACAAAGATCCCTTGAGTTTATACAACTACACACACACACACACACACACACACACACACACACACACAAAGACATTCACAAACACCACAACCACAAATTATGTGACGATAACATGAAGATATAAAAATGTATGTAGTTAAATGAGCTCTTCGAAGGAAGCCAGCCAAATTCTCTGTGGAAAGTAAACTCAACATATGCCAGCTCTGAGGCTATCCTTTGAAACTGTGTGTGTGTGTGTGTGTGTGTGTGTGTGTGTGTGTGTGTGTGTGTGTGTGTGTGTGAATGCTGGGGGAGAGGTTTTTCCTGGTGTTGCTGTGCTTCATTTGTAGTAACTGAAAAATTTTCCCCTAATTAATGGTTATTTCCGTAGCCAGCATTTTCATCTCTAGGTGATTACCTTCATCTCATATGATATCCTTAACTAACGATGATGCATGTTATTAGATTTCTGTATGTATGTCACTTACGTCCTGTGGGAGCCTGTAGTCGTTCGAAACAGGTCAGCTTTTACAGGGAACAAGACATGCTAGTGTGTTTGTATGTGTGCATCTACCTTTGTGCTTGAGTTTGGTGGTAAACGTTCTCATCTAGACTCCCTACTCAACTTTGCCTTAATCATTTAACACAGGAATATTTCCATGAAATAAGCCCTGCTTGGGACACTCGCACTATATTGGAATAGCATGTTAAAAACCACACAAGCAGAGATGGCAGTATCTGTCTGTGTCACTCACCTGGAGTTGTGGTTTAGTTCCTGGGAGATGTCATCCACCATGTCATTCTCTGAGGCTTCGTGTGCCATGGCCTTACAAAGCTTACAGGCTACCAAGGCCTTGGCCATGGCCTCTTCGCCATGCTGCCAAAAGAACAATGCCATCTTCTGACGTTTCATAAGCACAGCCCACACCATCAGCTCATGGAAGGGGAAAGGGAAATGGTTGATTTCTGGGTCGTCCAAATCGATGTCCACCTCTTCCTCTCGTTTTCGTGTAGTCTTCTGGCGGCCTCTGCGAATTGGCATGTCGTCCTGGAGGAGATCCATAACAAGTGAGTGGGGTGGAAAGACAAAGGCATCAATGAAGAGATTGTTCAGGTGATTTTTCGGGATGATATTCATGGCCATGAATTCAGTAGAACAGGACGGCATTAGAGTGTTTTAGGTTGATCCTGAGCTGGTCATGGATGTACTGTATGAGGTCAATGCTTGGGTTCTAAATGGTGATTACAAGTGGCACCCAAGAAAACTGGATTGTACTCATGACAATCACCCAGTGCATGTAGGGTTTTCATTGTATTTTTATAAAAAGTGTTCACCTTCCACATGCAGTGGGAAAGTCAGACAGGTGGAGGCACAAAGTCTTACACACAAAGTCTCATGTAGCATATGTATTTTTGAACACACTTTCCCTTTACTTATGAGTAACAAGACACCACTAGAGGTGAAGCAGTCAGTGTCTCCAGGTTTGCTCACTGTCTCTGGAGAAATTGACTCTGCCAGTTAGTGCTGAAATGGCATGTCAGCAGGGCTGCATTGATCTCCAATAATTTCACATTTTAACAGCTGAGAACTACTGACAGTTGGTCAATTACATACATCTGAGACATTACTTTCAGTGCTACTAAAATTGCTGTTTGATATGGGAGAGATTATCTGGACAAAGAAAGATATGATAATACTTCTGCAGTAAAGGATTCAGCTAGTGACACTCGATTGATATCCATTTATATGACATTAAGTTTATAGAGTTATGGATATTTAGAGATGATTGGAGCACCACAGATTTAAATCTTCAATAATTGCAGGTGTCCAAGGTTAACAGCAGTACATTTAACACAATCTGTTTCATGGCCAGCTTGCCGTACTGATTATATGATAAATTGGCTTACAAAAAGGGAGCAAAGCATTACAGGAAATAAGTAGATTTTAACAGGCACAAACAAAGAGAGACCACACACTGACAGGGAGACAGATTTCAAACAGGCAGACATACAAAGGAACGGAGAGCCATACACGTTCGATATAAATACCTCTGAGATAACTGTGGCCATGCTGTGATAAAAGGTTTATGATGTAGATACTTCATGGTGTGTACACCATGGATACATGTGAGTACACAAACCATGTATTATGTAATCCTGTTAGGTCAGTCATTACCTATTCAGTTAAATGTAACTGGGCTGTTCTGACATGTGTCATATGAGGTATATATATATTTGAACTGTCTGGAGCCATTAGACTGTATGTGGTCAAACGCATTTTTCCATTTCATAAATATGAGGAAAATGTAAATTGAAAAAATGATTTTGTACAAGGCAGTGTGAAGTGTCTGATAATTTTATTTGACAACAAGCCTTCAACTGACTCAAAAGTGTATACAGATTGCCAGCAAAATAAATGAAATATTCCTCAAGGTCTTTCTTTCAAAAGACTGCGAGGCACACAGCACACACTCAACAACTATCTTGCTGAAAAGATTCAGCAGACTGACTGTACACTCACTCAACATATATCACGAGTGAAAAGACTGTGTTTAAGACAAGGGAAAGGAACAGTGAAGAAATGACTGAATAGCAACCTTGATGAGATCAACACTCACCTCCATCCCCAGCAGTTTCAGGGCTTTGGGCTAGAAAAGCAACAAAAACATAAACAAACAGAACAAGACCTTGTCGAATGTATTTTATAGAGCAATTTACTCTATAAGCACAACACAGCATAGACTGACAGAAAGACAGACCCACTGACATGAGACCCTAAATATTCCTCAATATGGAAAGTCACCCATAGTTTAAAGGTTTTAATAAGGGCTAGTATTTTGTGCTGGTGTGATTGATGGTAAACTAAACATACAGCAACAATCTCTTATGCTGGTGTGTTTGCATGTATTAAAGCAGAGTGTATTTGTGCATTTGGTACAGTACTGTGTATCTGTATTAAAGCGGGGCATGTATGAATTATGCATTCATGAGCCATCATCTGAGTTGGTAAAAATAGCCCAGGTCTCCTGTGGGGATTTTGATATCTGCATCTATTTCAAGGCTTTGTTCTTAGTTAACATGTGTGTGTGTGTGTGTGTGTGTGTGTGCACGTGTACACATGGCTATGTGATCGCACGTTCATTTCATCTAGAAAATCACAGTTAAATTGGAACTGACTCTCTTTCGCTCTCTCTCTCTTTCTCTCTCTCTCTCTGCCTCTCTCATTTTGCGTCTTTGCTCATTCTCTGTCCCATTTCTTTGCTTTCGCTTTATCTGCGTCTTTCCAGCTGCTTTGTTGCTGCCATGGCAGACATACAATGAGATAAACAGGCACATGAAGACTCACGTACACACACTCAAAAACATACACACTCACATACATAAAAACCCAAAGGTGCATCATCAAGCAGAAATATGGTGTTTCAGACACAGCTGTGCATATTTCTATTTTCATCACACCTGTGGCAGTGTGTGAAGTATTGAAGCAGAATGAGAATCATATGTCAGAACAACAGAACATGAACATATACCATATGTGATATGTGGTGTACAACACACAACCTCCAAAACAATATAGTACAATTTCAATGGTCAGCTTCTCCACTTTGGTTGAAAGTGTGCTAATCAGCGAGGTGAGTTTCTGCAGTGGTTGCAGTGAGGGGTGTATATTCTTGGGTTTACGATGGCAAATGATGAAGAGCCATTGCTATAGATGGATGATTTGTTGCATCAAGCTAATAATAGCCTGTGCTGCCACTCTACTTGATGTAGTAATGAAGAATGATGGTAGGACGACTCTTATGTTTGACCTCTGCTGATGAACAGCACCAGGACTGCATGAGATCACAGACTGTGTGGATTTAATGACAACTCCGCAATTGAAAGAATACAATAAATGCCATAACATCATATTCATCATATTGAGTTTTTCTAAATGTGTTATTTCAGTGCTTGAGTTTTCCATTTGGACAGTCAGGCTGAGACATGTAGACTTATATCCCATCCTTGTGTTACACTAGCTGGCAGTTGCACCTTGAAGACAAACTGCTTAATCCTGTTGTTTTAGTCTTAAATCTTGGCTCGCCAATAAAGTAGTTAGTGGATCTCCAATGATTACTTTTTATTGTTTTTTTTTCTAACTGTGAAGCATAAACCTGGTTTTACTGACAATATAAATAAACAAAGTGCTATATCAATAAAGTTTTACTTACTTATTTGGGCTTGCTTCCTAGACAAAGTATTTCTGTCCCATCATTGCAGTTACACTTTTTGCTCATATGTTTGGAAATGTCGGAGCAAAGGAAATCCACCTTAAGTCTTATGAAGACTATGACTTATACCTATCACTTGAAGACTATAGTTTGATGTACTTCCTGCTCATGCAATCACATCACAACCAGTGCATTTATGTGTATGCTAATTAACTAGTTGCATCAGCCAGGTGGAGTTTACCCTTGAGGTCACAATCCCTAATTAACATTTTATTATTAAAATATAATTAGCTAATTTTATCCATCTTGCCCTTACTGTGCAAATTTGATAATGACGTTCATTTCACTGATACTGTTCGTTTGATTAATGACATTAAAGCTTTTCAGATGTAAGTGTTGAAATGTATTAAATGGTGGGATGCTAATGAAGGTGTGAATCATTCACTCACCCTTTTGGGTCCAAAGAGGTTGTGGTATAGAGTTCTGAATCTCTTCCTGGTGTAGTTACACCGATATGCCCCGCCCATGAGGTATTCAATGACCAGTCCAATGTCGATGAGGCTGATGCGGTAGTCCGGGGGCAGGTTTCCCTGGAAAACCAGACAGTGTTAAGAGGCAACAACCCACTCCAAGTGATTTATAAAGGAAAATAAACAAGAGGGAAACAAAGAGTGCAAAACAAATCACACAGTCATACACGCTCTACAAAATCCATATCAAACTCTTTTTGGCTATAAAAGAAAACATGATTATCGGATTCACCTTGAAGTAGATCCAACTGAACCCTGGATATTCTCGCTTGGAAAGAACACACAATGTCAGTGAGTAAACCGCACGATAAGCAAGAGCAGGGGAAAGGAGACACACAGAAACTCAGGCAAGATCTCTCTTCCAGCCTCTTTAATACGTTTTTACCTCAACCAGACTGAGGTTCAGTTGTTTTTACAATTTGACTTCTTTAAAAGTATGTGGATCTCGGCTTGATTGCAGAAACTCCGATATCATAACCAAAACATTGGTTGAACCAAAAACTGGTCACTTTTTCAGGTATGGTAATACTCCCGACACCTTTTGTAGAATGTGAAACTTTAAAGCCCCAAGCTGTAACTTCTTCTCTTAAATTCAATAGAGAAGCAGAACATGAGGAAAGAATAAAAACTCAGGTGCAGTATGATTTACAGAGAGAATATATACTGTCTGAGGACAATTACAAAGCATGTAAAAAATTAAATGATTCGTCACAATTTGCATTTAGGGAAATAATGAGATCTTCTCAGTGAGGTTCAATGCAGTCTTGTAGAGAAGAACAGAGAGAGAGAGAGAAGTAATGACTCATTAGCCTGGAAGAGAGGGGCAATAGCATAGAAAGACAGACGGACAGCTATTAACACAAGGGAGGATCATTATTGAAATAGAAGTCCTTCTGCATGAAGACTATAACCATGTCAATACTCGCTGCTCCTCCTCGTGCCCTCAACATCAACCCCAGATCTTTCAGTCATTATCCCTGACCCTACTGTTCCTTTGAGATATACCAATTACCTTACATAGCTTTACACCTACCTTGATACCATCTCCACCCCTCTGCAATCAGAAGTGAGATCCTAGATATCCTCCCTGTCCCACTCATCCCTAGCCTGACTTCATATCCAAAGATTCAATTTCATTGGCAGCAAAGGGAGGCCGCACAGCTGACAAACCCCTGTAGGCCAACTGATACACTTTGAAGTAAAGAGAACCCCAGATAGTGCTTGCCTTTTCAACATCCGTGGTTCAAAGCACACAAAGCTTCACCTCCTCATCCTACTGATATATATAGTTCAAACCAGTCAGCGGTCAGCCAAGCCCTCCCTTTAATTCCCTGTGGTGCTGAAGCTCAAGCTAATAACTGTTTGTTTACACCTTGTGTGAATGCACTCTAAGATCTTAGTCCACTGCAGTCTTTGATTCTCCAGTGTAGTTAGTAAAGTCTGAGTCATGGCTGACTTGCTAATGGGAAAGTTGCTCTCCTGAAAAACTCTACAAATTTTTTTTCCTGCCTCTGTACAGCAAAGAGAACAGCAACTAGTTTAACAACTGAACAAGCTTTTGTTTAGGTCTCACACATTTATGGAAGATCATTATATAATTACGATACTGACAATATTAAAGTATATAATGTAACGTACACCACATCAGTATTTCTCAACCTGGTTCTCATGTCATCTGACGACCTACAGTACTAATAAACTACCCAAATATTTCTGCTCATTCCTCTCAATTAGCAAAGCAAATTTAGAAGTAAAACAGCCCGAATACATTTGGGTTTCCTCCCAACTGTTCCTGATGTGTGAGCACCAAAGCCCAGGGTGTACTTGCTACCACACTTTGTCCATAAAACTACACTGTTCATTTACTCTGCAGGAAAACCAATTTCTCTTTTGGCAGCTGCACTCCACAAACCAATCTTTGTGATTCTCCCTGTTTTTTGACTCAGCTTTCACACAATCTAATGACTGGACCAGATTAAACCTGAGAGTAGCCTTCATAGCTCTCACAGATTGTTATTAGCACAACACCTGCATCTGTATCAAAAACAATAAACTGCCAGTTGCTGACTGCTGACCACTCTACAGAGAACTATGAGGAAAAAACAGGAAACAGCGATGACATGGTGACTCAACCCGAGGGATAGTAGTTAAATCTAATTAGCATCATACTATGATACACCAATGACACACAGACATTAAGCTACGCTATTGCAATTACACACAGCTCTACAAAAAGAGGATGGTAGTGTTATGCCATGCACTACAATGTGTGTTTTGCATGTTTAAGAAATGGTATAGTGAGATGTCGTGTATTGCACACTGCATATTCTCTGCATCAAACTTGAGATCGGAGTTGTGTTTAAAGACAGAGAGGAGATAAAGGAGTGGATGGAGCCTCTTCAGCGACTCCCAGAGGAGAATACTGCATTACTATAATCAGTAGCAATTTAATTAATGAACGCCTCACAGTTCTAATGGTGGTGTTGCTGACCTCTCTGTCATCTCTCTACAGTGGGATAACTCCTAATTGGTGTGGAGACGTGTTGAATGTAAAATTCTAGGTTGTCGTCTTTTATCGCCAGTAATCATCAAGGTGCTGTAGGAGACGTGCAGCAAACTATAATGAAGACTGCATAGTGTTGACTTTTTTTGTGCAGCCAAAACCTACTGAATGAAAATGCCACTATTTCATCGTCTGAACATGAAATTAACAAACAAAAAAATCAATTTCAGGTGAGGGCTTTTGCAAGTTCACTTTTCAAAGAATCAACTGATACTCCATATCAAATAGACCACACTAAATAATGGTGTTAATAATAAAACAAAACAAACAAAAATAAATTGTGAGTCTACGAAGTTCTCCTTTATCAGCCTCACAGCAGTTCCACTGTGGCCTCAGTTTTCTCAAACTGAAGTTCTGTGGATAAAACAATGTTTAATACATGTAGTGTTTGTTTACCATGGTGGTGTGTGCCTTAGAGAAAGAACAGAGTAAATTGCAGAGTGGTCATGAGAGGGATGAGAGTCGTGCATAGCTCTACACAGCCACTGCAGCCCGCAACTCCAGCTGAAAGAGAAAAGCCGGCCTCTATTTGCAGTTACCAGCAACTAGGGCTACCAAAATGTCAACACACAAATTGATGCAAACAGAGTAACAACACGCACCGCAAAAAAAAAAGCAACTGAAACGCTATGTAGTCAAACATGTCTTCTTTAATATACACATTCAAGCCAACATTCCCATACGGTGTGCCTGAACAGCCACAGAGCTAAAGGGACGGCAGTGATGCTCATACCTTTTTGACGTCTCTGACGAGGTGGTACAGCGTGTTGGATGGTCCATGTCTCTGTTGGAAAAAATAAATAAATTAAAAAAATCAGACACAACACATAAGCATATTATTATGATCACTGACAGCATCTACAGTTCCTTATGACAAAACTGACCATGCCTGCTATACTGTTCACCACCAGCTCCATGTTTTTCTTGTGCAAGCAGCCTTTCAATCAACATTTTACTTTGAAACTCACTATCACAACTGTTTGATAAAGGAGGTGCTTCCCTGGTGTGCTGCAAAAAGATGATACGTGTATTTATAGTCAATTTATGTGCAATTGTTATTACCGTGTTGTAGAGCTCCTCCAGTCTGGAAAGCGTGAGGAAACGGTGCATACTGACTCCGTTTTCAATCAGAAGCTTTACAAAGTCCACTCTGTCCAGAACTAAGGCATCCAGCATCGCCTGCTCCAGGGAACCCACCTGCACATGGGATAGAGAATACATATGATGATGATACCAAGAAACACTACCATGGAATAGATAAAGATCGAGCACCAACAAACTACAACAGGATTATTACATTATATATTACATTAACAGGTGACTTCAACATTCACTCTGGTAATCCAGTGAACTCTAAAGCAGTGTTTAACGAGCTATTCATTTTTTTTAATCAATAAAATGTTAATATCAGTCAAAATGCAGCAAGAGCAAAAAGGCCTGTAATCACAATCAATATTTCTGCTGCACTATATTTACTATATTTGATAAGGTTTGCGGTTCTTACAGGCCACTGCTGTCCATAGATGAAGATCTGACTGCGGGCGATGTCCACTCTGTTCCACGCCAGCGCTAAACTCAGCTGGTCAGGGGCAGAAGCGTTGGCACCTGAGAGAGGATGCAAGCAAGTTGATGGACATTTCTTTTATTTCTGACAAACAAGGTTTTCTAAACACAGACACATAAACAAAGTTCCAAACTTTAGAACAATCTGCGGTTATGATTTTTATTAGTTGATACTTTAGTCATTTTAGACATTCTGTGTTGTTTTAATATTGATACTGATTTGTCTCATTTTATATTCTCTTTATATGCTTATATTCTCAGTTACACCTGCTGGATGCTTAAACTTCTTGCTGAAAATTCACATCAGGTATGATATGATGAAGTTTTATCTCTCTTATCTGGAGAGACAGCTATGTAAAAACTATGTTATACAGTATTTCATCTTTGATTTATGGTAGACAGAATCAATGCACAGTAGCTATGAATGTGAGATACTTGATGTTAGTTTGAATGCGACCTCTCCAATTGTGTATCATTATTTCAAGTCAAAATTTACTGATTAGCAACCTTAGGTGGTAATGTCTTCTTTTGTGGGATGCAGGGGCTTTAGGCTTGGTGGTCCTTGGCTTTACAAGCAACCTGTGTCACCCTGTATGCAGACGTGTCTGCTCTGTTCCTATTATGTGTCTGTAGAGAAGATGTCTTTGCATTGCAGAACAACAGCTTGTTTGTTGATGTATCACTCAATTTGATGATCTCGTCCTACATAAAATGCAGACAACTGTGCTCCTTTGATTTTCTGTGTCAGTGAACATCATTTACTGTACTCTGGTCCTCTAGTAACATCAACATGGTTGTACAGTAATCTGCAGAAGAAGATAAAGAACTACAGTACATACATACAGACAAAAATGTATTAAAAATGAAAACAAAAGATCAAAAAAGTGGGATTGTGGACAAATCCAATTAGCGGAGTATAATATTGGATGAAGAAGAAGCAAGATAAAAGACATGTTGTTTACAAGATTCAAGGAGCACACTGACAATAAGGATAAAATAAAAGTAAAGTAAAGTAAAAGTAAAAAGGCACTTCTGTCATCACTGTGACGGCTTTGCTGCATGTCATTGCTGTTTGGTAAAGGACATACTGGCGGGATGTAAATCTGCTGAGATATTCACAATTTAAGGCTGGTTTAAGGAAACTTCAGGGTATAAGATCTCATTAAACTAATACTTGCTGGGGTGTCCTGCTGGCCAAGGGATTAAGACGGATATTATATACTGGAATCATCATTGTCATTGTTGCATTTCATTCCCCCTTCTCTCTCTCTCCTCTTGTTTTGAGTTACCTCTCAACTGCTCAATACTGTGTCATCACATTTCTAAAGATGAATGATAATAATGGGCTTTATGATAATCTGAGTCAGAATATACTTTTAGTGACAGGGCTGGGATGCAGTGTATAAAAAAATAATTCCAAGTGTGTGTATTTATTGCAGGAGCAAAGGCAACAGTGACACCATGTTTGTTGAAATGGGAGAAGAAAATCTGGACACAGCAGAAAATGAAGTCCAGACATAAAGAGACTCTATATGAAATAAATCTCACTATTTATAATCAGCATAATCCAATGTGAAACAGCTTCAATGTAAAGGGTTACAAAATTGCACTCACTGCATTTAAATTTATAATCATCCTGTGAGAGATCATCTGTGGCACACTTCAAAAACTGTTGACCATGGAGATCTAACAGAGAACCACAGTCTGCTGTTCACATTAATAACTTACCTGTACACTGGGAGGAGTTAATTGAAAACAATTTATCTCAGCCTTTAGAGAAATCCAGTGTCATATAAAGTATAATAACATCCCCATATGTGTAGACAAGACTGTGTAATTTTCAATAAGCACACTGGTATCACTGCCTTGCACAGCGCTCTCTGACTTAAAGGTCTGCACAGCATTACTGGAGCTTAATGGTCTGAGTTCAGACAGAGCCCCTGCTAATAAGATGCAGAGCCCACTAATAAGAGCTTTAGTGGAGATATGTGTATATTAAAAAGCAAGGTGGCCTTGCTTTATCAAAGGCATGTGACTTCACTCTGTCTGCCTACAGGGAGGTTGAACTGCAGCCAACTGACTTTATGGACCCAATCTTCAGGATATTGACTATCTCCAGCAGCAGGCCATCAATTACTCCAAACTCATCTCTGTTACACCATGTGTGTTTAGCCGCAGTTTCCTTTTAGCTCTGTCTGTTCACACTTCTCTAAGTCTTTCTCTATATCTCTCACACAGGCTCACACTCTCACTTGTTTTGTTCCTTTTTTCCTGCTCTTGCGCTGCTCTCCCCTCGCTGTGTATTCCTGACTGCGCTGTGCTTTGTTGAGCTTCAGGCAGTAGGTTAGTTCTTCGGCGAAGGAGTCTAATCCAGTGTTTTAAAAAGCTCTCAGGCAGGATGTGACTGATTTCATTTTACACTAAAAGCCCTAACGCGTTCCATTCACTCAGCCACAGAATGAGACTTGCATGTAAAATGACCCTCATGGTGTTTACCATAAAGCATTTTTTGCCCCTTTCCTTAGTGTTCCTCTCTCATCCTTTCACTTCTCTGATCTCTTCCTTTCCATTCCCTTTTTTTCTCTTTTGTCTCTCTCACTGTCTTTGATTTCAATGCCTTCCTTCACTCATTCATTCAAATGCCATCACTATCAAAATGCGAAAAGAAATGAACAAAAAGGCGATAAACAAGTGAACAGAAATGAAAGATACACCAACAGATGGAGTCATGAGTGAGACGTGTACATAAGAAAAGTAACAGAGCAAGAGAGCAAGATAAAGATCATGCATCTTGACTGCTGCACATAAATTATGTAAAACATGTTTCTCTTTCCCTCTCCAAGCTCTCTAGTTTAGTCTCCTCCTCACTCTCTGCGGAATGAAATGTTTCTCTGAGGAACAATTCCTGAGACAGTCAATCATACGCTCTGATTTGCTAAGCAGTCCCACAGGACTCACTGTTTCTTTGTACATGTGCATGAGTGTGTGTTCACATGTATAGGTGTGTGTGAGTGAAACTCCAGTGGGCTTTGTTAATGTTGCATTCCTTGAAGAGGCAAGAGCAACCATGATCAATACAAGCTACTGAACAACCAATCGAAAGTATGGATCAATGACTGTGTGTGTGTGTGTGTGTGTGTGTGTGTGTAGAGGGGTGTGTATGGAAGGGTGAGGGCATGGAAAACAGTGCAGTGGGAAATAAGGTAGAGATGTGGAACAATGGGGAACAGGTTTAGTTAAATTTCTATGTCTGCACTTGACACATTTTCAATTTTGGAACTCAGTTTGGTCCAATTTGGCCCTTATGCATAACAATTTGTTGCAGCATAAGGATCACGTGCTTCTGCTAACTTAATATCTTCCTGTATGTTTTGCCATATCATGCCTTAAGACTACAGTAGACTATAATAGACTGTGTTGTACAGGCATAGATATAAGAAACCTCAAGCCTGGGCAGTGGGACCTTAGACACAATATGGGCAGTTAAGCAGTTTTGAGATATACAAGGCTCATGTGGTATAACAATACCAAACAGGCATTGAACTCATTAAAAATGTATTTCATGAATACAAATTAAATTGAAATATATACTTCAAAAGACGTGGCACAAAAGACATGGCACTTTCCATAATTCATTGGTAACTGTAAGTGTCTTCGTGTAATCATTTGTCTGTCTGTTAATGAGCAGCTGTGTTCATGCTAATGGATTATTCTGCATGTGTTGGTTTTTTACCTGGATTCACCGCAGGCTTGTCTGAAATGACTTTAATACTGTAGCTGGTACGCTACTAGAGTCACAATTTCCTCACATTCAAAGGAATAGTCTGATTTTTTGTGAAATACACTTGCTTTCTTGCTAAGCACTAGATGAGAAGATGGCTGAACAGTAAGTACATAGCTATTGCCAGCAGCTGGTTAGATTAGCTCAGCACAAAGACAGGGGAAAACAGTTAGCCTGACTTTCTCCAAAGCAAACAATATGTGTCTAAGAGCACCCCTAAAGCTCACCAATCAAAATCTTATATGATTGGTTGAATCTGTACAAAAACTCAAGTGGAAAAATGACATGTTTTGCAATGCCTGAAAAAAATACATTTAACAAGCCAAAAAGAGTCAGATATTTATATACTGATACTGATAACATGACCCCAGAATTATGCCAACAGCACTGTTTCTGCTAAATCTGTAAGTAAGCAATTGTTTAGTAATAGAGAATAATATCAGGACTTAATGCTGCAAGTTTGCATTGGAGTCTTCCTGCCCTGCAGCAATCAAAAATTGCTTAATGGAGCTTTAAAGGAGAAAAAAACAAGCACAGATGTCTATGTTTTATTCCTCTGCTATGAACAGTAAAAATATAAAACATACTTGTGTGCTTTGAACATACACCTAAACTGGGACAGAGAGAGGAGTGCTTTCTGAAATGATATCATCCTCCTTTTATGTACAGAAACTTCCAAATAACAACATCCCTGGAGGGTGGCAATGAAATGGAAGCCACTTACTGTACACTCACTCTCCAGCACACACACATAAAATGCACACACCCACCTTTGAGTAATGCAGTGAGGATGGCAAGGTCAATGTCCTGATGGCCCTCTGACCCCATCCGGAAAACCGTTATCTGAGAGACAATGAGAGAGAGACACACAAAAACAGGGAGAAAGAGTGAGAGGAAGGTGCATGAATTCTTCACAAGCCAAACTACTTGAAAGTGACTTTAGTCTTGAGTCATTCATTCGTTGCTTGCTTGAATCTATCAAGGCTAATAGCATAAAGAAATTCAGTCACATCTTGAGTGAGAGTGTTCTCATTTGCTGGATTAAACTTCACAAAAAACACTGCTAGCGAGGTGCTCAGAGGGTGAAAGAGGAGAGGAGAAGAGAAGTATGACTCTGATAAAATATACGGTCTGTTCTCCTCTCCAGACTCTCCTCTTTTCTCTCGTCTCCTTCTGCGGGAAACACCACAAAACTCTCACACACAGCTTATTCACTGTAGGGAGGGAATGAAGGGATTTGCTGAGAAGGCAACTGAGGAGAGTGAGGAAAAAAAAAACATGACAAAGGGGGAGATCAAATGAAAATGCTCTCCAGTTCCAAAGATCATTCTGTTCTTTTTCTTATTATTATTAGGCTTTAGGGAAAGTATTTTACTCTGAGGCCAGTTTAGGTCTCCATCTGTGTAGTCTGACATGTCTTTTAGCAGCATTTTTTATGTTGTCCATGAGATGAACTAATGTTGCAATGGATGAAAGCCAGATCTCACTGAGGAGGAAATCTGAGAAATGGAGCAGCTCTGGAGGATTTTTTTTCCCTGTCATATATACCAAGCGCATGTACACAGACTCCTGATAACGTGTGTGGGCATACATGCTCGTGTGAAGGGCACCTTGTGGGAGCTGTGTACAGGAGAATGCGTGTCCTGAATGCCTGACAAGCTATTCCTCTAATCCTTCCATCCACCATCCATCTCCTCCCACCTCTCTCTCTTCCCTGCAGCCCATCTCCTTTCCCATCTCCCCCACCCCTCTAAATGGCTTCATTTTGTGGAGTTCCAGGATTCTGCGGGCTTTGCTGTTCCTGCTGTTGCTGCTGCCTTCCCTAGGGCAATGCTGCAATGTTGTAGGCTAACCCCCCTCTTTCTTCTCTTATCCTTCTCTCTCTTTTCACACAATCTTAATGCATAAAAGTAATTCAATTTACATTGATGATTTACAGTATCTATGATGTTGGCTCATTCATCATTTGCACACCACATGCTGATGACTTGTTGGCTCCTCCCTGACAGAGAAACGAGGAGTCGGGCATCATGTTAATGCCTAAGCCCTTTGTCATGCATCGCATGTGCTACTAATAAGGGGAGCAGCTAAGTGTGCTTGTGCTTTTGCCTATGTGTTTGTGTGTGTGTGTGTGTGTGTGTGTGTGTGTGTGCGTGCGTGCATACATGTGCGTGCCTGTGTAATCAAAAGGTCTTTCTCCAGGTGAAATAGGAGTGCAATGCGATGTGAATGTATCGATTGAGGTCTTCATGAGTGGGGACACCAATGAGTTGTTGGTGCAGTGTGTAATTTCATGTGCTTCTCTCGGTGTGTGTGTGTGTGTGTGTGTGTGTGTGTGTGTGTGTGTGTTTAAAAGAATAATTTTTCTTGTGTGTGCACTTGCACTGTGACTGTGAATGTCAAACTATACGTGTAAAAAGCTGTAATTTTCTAACCAGATCAATTTCAGAAATAACCAATCAGGCAGACAAAGAAAGAAAGAAAGAAAGGAAGGGTGTGTGTATGTGTGTGTGTGTGTGTGAGAGAGAGAGAGAGAGAGAGAGAGAGAGAGAGAGAGAGAGAGAGCACAGCTACCTATAATCTTATAGGGCGTGCTCATGTGTAAGCCAAATCACCCAATCAGCACAGATCCCTATTCTGGCCACTTGTTCATTACACCCTGTAGTTATCATTGTAGCAGAATGCAGAGTTCCCTCACACACACTCACACACATACAAAGGATTCTTGGCTGCCTTCAGGACTAAAGATGGATGACGGTGTGATAGAGGAAAGATGATTATAGAAGATGTTCGCCGTTGTTTCTATTCTCCCCTCTCCCTCCAGGGCTCTGCACCTTTCCCTCCACTCACTTTCTTCCACCCATCATCTTTCCACCCCCCCATCTCCAACCACTCATCTTACAGCAGCCTCCCACTGGCATACTACCCCCGCCACCCCACCCCCACCATATTTGCCCGCTTCCTCTCTACTTCTTTCTCCCTTTTCCCTTCCTCCAATCACAGCCACAAGGTGACCCTGTGGATATGTGCTACCTGTGATCATAGTGGCTCCACAATTCACAAGCTATGCACAACACAACCTCTGAGACAATGCACAGTTGCTAATTTAATCGCAACAATCCCACATAGACTCATCAATAAGAGTGCGCAAAGGTAAACAGACAGCTCCTTCCCCATCTATTTTAGTACTTATTGTGAGCTAAGAAAAAGCTTCATTGTTTTTTTATTTACTCAGGGAATAAACTCACCCATCTGTTGTACAATACATTTTCAAAATGTTGATATGTTGATGATGAGCTTAGTTAATACTTAAATGCTTAAAATAAATGCTGAATATACTTTTTGACATCTCTCTGCCTCTACACTGACACCTCAGGGGTCAACATACAAGATACAGGGCACTTACTCATTTCTGTAACGCTGCATCTCTTTTGTTGACAAGAATACAGGAGAGAGGAAAAGAGCGGAAACGCTAAGGAGAGGGAGACAACTGGAGGCAGGGATCGCGAGGATAGACAGGAGACAGCACGGAAGAGGAAGTGTGTGTAAAGCAAAGGAAGACAGAAAGAGGGAGATTTAGTGTTGACAAATTGAAGACGGATACGAGAAATCAAAAGGGAAAAGGCAGTGCCGTCTTTCTCAGAGCGACTGGTTCTGTCAGAGGATTCCCACTTCGTCAGAGACGTTAAGCTACATGCTTACAGGATCAGAAAACTGCTCTTCACGCTGCAGTGAGCGAAGCTGATTGGAAAACATTCATCTTCATTTAACAGGCAAAGACCCTGCTGATGCTGCTACATGTACATGCAAGACGCATGGCAGACACCACACATGCACACATACACTTGTACAGTACACAGAGGTTTCCAAAGCATCTTCTGCAGTCTATACACTAACAATGCTATTAACAACGCTTCATCTTTGTGAATTTGAGCATGAAATATTTAGATGTGTATTTTTCTGATGAACCTTTAGTTCAAAAAAGACAAGAGATTTTAAATTGATAAACTGCCCTGCTGACAGTCTACCAAGGTAATGGTTCTCTCCTAGCAGATTTCTCTGTCACTCTCTACTGTACCTCATTTTCTCATTCGTTCTTCAAACCACATATTTTCTCTTATCTTAAGTCTTGTCTCATTTCCTCCCACCCTCCCTTATTCCCTTCCTACCTCTCTTTCTTTCTGCCTGTCTCTCTCTCTCTCATGGTCCATTTAAGTCACTCTTTCACTCTCTTCGTCTTCCTCCTACTCGTTCTTAGTTTCTCTTGTCAGGGAGGCGGAGGAACAGTGTGGGTTGGTGGTTCCTCCTAAATATTTAATCCGAATTAAACATATAAGGACTATTCTACACTCAATAATTCATACCAAGCTGGAAGATACCAGGACAGTCATCTTGCACCCTTCTCCCCGCACCCTCACCACCCCACACAGGAAGAGTGAGGGATCTAGAGAGAGGTGGAGGGGGAGGGAGAAACAGGCACTTCTCTAGTAATTAGGCCTAGAATTGGATTCACATAGAAAAAAATACCTATATGACAGGCCCTGATAATATCTAATGGACTGATTCTCAGCATGTAGTCGTGCTTGTTTGACATTCAAATGAAATTTTTCCAGCTTTGTGTGGAAGGGATAAAAAAAAAAAAAACAAGATAAGTGATACACAAATATGAGGAAGATAATTACCCTCATCATCCAGAAAAAATGATGCAAATGTGGTGCTTTTAGTATTGTCTTTCATTGCACTTATATAACACATCATCTATATACTTTACATCTCTGTAAAACTCAAGTGCTTGCTCATTATTCATTGATTACCTTTGCAATTATTTCCCCTCCCTCCTCCTTTTTACTGGGACATGAGGTAGCACACTCTTAAATCAGACCAAATGAAAGCATAAGACAGATGATAGGGAATATTATTTGTAGCTGCAAAGAGCACCTTTCAGTTTTTTTTTTTTTAATTACTGTCTAACTAACTTCACAACATTATATTAATGATAACAATTGTCACGTGGCATCTTGAAAAGACAAAATTAAAGCAAAAAAAGCGATGAGCCTTGAATACAACTGCCTGTTCCGCCTCTGGTAAGGCAAAAATAAACACATAAAACACTGAGATATACATTTCAGTGTGCATGCATTAAGACTTAATAGTTTATTGCCTCTTGATATAAAACATAAACAACCCTGAGTATGATAAACAAAGCAGAAACAACTGAACCGCAAAATGTCTACATGAATAAACCAACATGCTGAAAATAAGGAACAAGCAAGACATAGCTTTCTTTGGTCATCCTCCTCCCTTTCACTTGCCCTCTTAGGCAGACACACACTCTCTCCCTCTCTCCTACTTTATCCCAGCCAGTCACCTTTAGTCTTCTCCTTTCCTTCTATTCTTTGGCTTCCCTCCTGCAGAGCCAGAAGAAATCAAAACACAGGCGTACTGGCACAGAGACAAACACACACTCTCATTGTCTCTCTCTCTGTCATATACTTACCCCTTTCAGACTGATGCAATGAACCAAGATAAACCTGCATTTGCTGCCAATGTGGATGGGTCAACACATGTTATCGCACCTGGTTTTGTGACCCAGCTCCTGACCTGCATGTTAACATGGGCTTGTCACTACTTGGCTTTGGTATACAAGCATAAACACAGGTTTCCATAATCACCATAGGACTGTGGTAAAGGTATTACAGAACTAGTATAGTTTCACTGTATCCCTATACCAGAGAGAGAGAGAACACATTTTAAAGTCCTATCAGTTTCCATATTGATTTTAAAATTCTTTTGCTTGATCTTGCACCGGCCTACTTGTCTCATATGGTTCCAATGTATGAACCAGGAGCCCCTCAGGTCCTCTGGCGTAAGTCTTTTAGTTATTCCAAAGTGCAGGACCTTTTGGTGAGGCAGCTTTTAGTTTTTAAGCTTTTCTGCTGTTGAAACAGTCTGCCTGAGCATCTGAACATCTTTCAAGAAAAACCTACATTTTTGGTCTAGCTTTTGATTAGAATCTTTTGTGCTTTGGTTTCATCATACATTTTTACATTTGAGTTGTCTTATTGTCAGTTTGTCAGTTATCTGTAAAGCAAGATGAACATGATTGTAGAAAGAGTCCTCTTGCATTAACTTGAGACAGAATAAATAAAATGAATTCACCATTTCTCCTGCCAATGTAAATATTGCCATCACCAATTTTGATAAACACTAGAATCTTGTAGCTTCTAGGTATTTTACCTGTGACTGATTTCTGATACTATGTGGAGATGTAACTTCTCACTTTGTCATTTTAGTTTGATTCCACATGTGTTGTCCATGTGGTTGGTGTTTTCTCAGGAACATCTCCATAATAATAGTTAGTTCACTGGCACATTCACTGAACAGTTTGCTCACCGTGTAGGTCAATATTTTGTTCCCTTATTGTGTAAGTGGGAATAACAAACGAGTTCAGAAATTGAGTCCTGTGGACTCCACATTGTGTGTAGCTGTGTAGAGCCCAGAGGAAACTATGATCAAGTACAGGGAGATTTCTTCTTGATCTCAAAACATGAACATGAAGAATCAGGGGAGTGACTTTAATTGAGGTTGTGTGAGGTTCATGAATTACTTCCCAGAGCGAACTCTCTCGTTTGCTTACTCTCTTTTTTTCCCCTTTCTCCTCTACAGTTATACCCCTCCAATCTCACATACACTGTGGGTCTCTGAGTGTGAGTTGGAGGGAACCCCTGCGATGCCTATCAGCCTGATGAACAGGAAGCTGGTGAAATTACCTCAGTGAGAGAGAGAAAGGGCCGAACAACAGAGGGATGACACAACTATCTCTCTCTCTTCTTCTCCATCAACCATAATCAACTTTGGCTTTCTGAGACTCTCTGCATGGTGCATGGGCACTAATGATTGTAGAATGTGTCTGTTGAGAAAAGCCTGACATTTAATGGACAACATACAAGGAGGTGGATTACTTTTACTGAATACATCATCAGAGATTATGCTTTCAAAGTTTTATGTCTTGGTCCATTTTTTATAGCAATGTTAAGGTTATAAGCCGAAGATGTCCCACTGTTGCGTGTCTTACGTGTCTCACGCCTTGATGCTGTGGCGCGTAATTTAGTTTTGCCTTCTCACGTATTATATGCGTGGTTCCCAGCACAAAATTCACTATAATTTATCTGAATTTATATTTTATATATCTGATTAGATATTTAGTTTATATACCTGAATATGACACATGAAAACATATAATATAATTATATTATGTGAATAATTTAATGGGTGAAAGGCAGTATTTTTCCAATGCTCTCTCTCTCTCTCTCTCTCTCTCTATGTTTTGCTCTCAATTAGGATAAACAAAAATCACATGATGCCATGATGCCTAACAACTCTTCGCTTGTTAGATCGCTCATCAACAATGGATGACACCAAAATCAATGTGAAGATCGAAAATCACAAAGAGCTCTATGACTCACAGAAACCATGTTATAAAGACAATAAAAAAGGAAAAGGCATGGGAGGAAGTTTCCACAGCTGTTGGTGCAGATGATAAGTTATATATAGGGTTTTTTTTCTCCTTTTCCATTACCGAGGCCCAGTTGTCACCCTCCTCCCCCTCCTCCTTAAATCATGTCATCTGTCATCCGAGAGAAGTAATCTCAAAGTTGAAGCAAGTTGCAAGAAAAAGGCACTGCACTTCTCATTCAGCCAAGACTGAACCCCCGAACATCTGCTCATACAGTTTTAGTTTGGTACCTATATGCAAATTAAGGTCCCTCTTAATTGGCCCACCCCTGGAAAACCTGTGGCACAGGATTCCAGATCCCCGCCCAAAACATTATGAAAAAATAAATCCGAAATGAATTTATAATGAACACCAATCAAACATTTGATTATTGATTGCATTATCCAAGGAAAACTCAATGAAGAAAGGTAGAGCTGGAAATTAGAAGCTCCACAACAGACACACTGGAGGTGTGGACACTCGTGCGGGCTGCAGCAGTTCGCCAAGGTAGCCACCACGCACACTAAACGCAGCTAACGCACTTCACAACAGTGCGGTGTGGACGCAACGTCAACTGTGCAACCTCATCTGATGGGTATAGTCATCCTCAGAGCTTTTGCCAGAAGTTTGTAAAAAGGCCACTAACGGTAAGATAGCAAGAACAGATAAGATATTTGATTTTGTCTGAATTAGTTCAAGCTCGATTTTTTGAAAATGTGACAGCCCTAGTACAGATTAGGAAAAAGTAGGTTAAATTCCTTCATAACAAACATATGTAGATCTGCCAGCACCAGAATTTGAATTGTGAATGAAGAGGTGTATATATTGTTCCTTTGGAAACAAATGGATTATCAAAAAAATGCATAATTGGCCTGTAAAATACAGAGATTTTAATGCAAGGGTGAAACCGGGTTTGTGGACTTTTATAATGCTGCCAAAACACACTTCTGTGCTTAGTTTGAGTGTGGCAGTGGTAACAGTTCTGCAAGTTCAGAGAGAGGCAGCATCATATTATCTGGCCTGTACAGCTGCTCCTGCTGAATGATTCACAGCCCATTGTTCTGCTCTGGTGTATTGTGTTCAGAAGATCCATCAGTGTGAGCATCAGTCAGCCACTGGAACCCCACCGAGGACGCAATCAATCCATTTACATGCTGCACAACCATGACCAGTGCTGGGCTGCCTGAAATATATGACGTGTACTATGTGTGTGCACATATGTGTGTGGTTTCTGTGTGCACACGCTTTTGATTTCTTTGTGTGACTCAGTGCATTACGATTGTTAGAATAACTGAAACACATGATAAAAATGGTTAACCTGCAGTATTTTTTACAAAGAGGGAAGGCTATCGCATGATAAATACCTGGCTGAGTCATCTCTAACATTCCAGCCATCATGTTAAAATAAGGCTTGGATGTGTGTGTATGCTACTGATTACAAATTTATTAACAAAATGCTACTGGCAGCCAGCTGTGCCAATAGTCGCTGATCTGACAAATACTCCCTTCCCTTACAAAAGACATAGTACACTATGTTCACAGCGAATTGAAGCAAGAGCAACAAAGTAGTAAATAAATTAGTATGGCTGCAATAAGAGCTGCTTGTTTGCATCATAGAGGACGTGTTACACTGTTATCTTGTGAGTGAGTGTAAGGTTGTGTGTGGGCGCATGTGCACTGTCTGCACTGCCGCTGCATATACCACTTTGTTGACTGTAGCAACATCATGCCCCCTGCTACTGTGATCAAATGTACCATGATTAAAAGACAAACACACACACGTACACGTGCATATGCACACACACCAACACACACACGCGCGCGCACAGCATTTAACAGCATTAGAAAGAGGTTGGCTTCATATGACTGACTCCTCCCCAGGGGAGAGGGATGTGTGTGTGTGTGTGTGTGTGTGTGTGTGTGTGTGTGTGTGTGTGACAGCCATGCTTGACAAGACGTGTGTCAAGACTTAAACACTTCCAAAGCGGTTCAGACTCTCAAGGTGGAGGCCATTTGGTCCTGAACTTCATCTGAATATATTTACATCCACTTAACATTACGTGTCATACATAAAAGATGGGGTAATAATTGCTTCAATAAAAGTTTCATGATGGGCAAGCTTCATTTGACAAATCCATTTGTTCCTCCTCCACGTATTTTTCCTTTTTGGGCTTTGCTATACAGCAGACACCTCAAAGCTTAATGGTGATATTGCTGTTATTAGTGATTTAATGCTGTGCCTGTGTGAGTGTCTGCATCTGTCTGTGTGAGTCTGGCTGTGCTTCAGTGTTTTGTCTATATACTGTTTATATTTTTGCTTTTCCTGCATCTCTAAATTCACCAATGCATGCGCTAATATACGTATGTACGTATGTATTTGCCGGCATGTGTATGGGGACATGTATGAAAGTGCCACTCACCAGCTCCTTCTTCTTCATGCACTCCATTAGAATGATGAACAGATGTTGGGCCTGTGTGCGGCTGTAGGTGAATGTCTTCTGGATGGTCACCAGCAACTGGTCTCTTAGAGACTCATTAATTATGCTGCAGAGGCAGAGAGGTGTGGAAAGAAAGACAAAAGTGTGTCAGGAAGGGGTCAGGTAGAGGTAAAGAGAAGAAAACACTGAGGGGGAAGTGGGCAAATTAGATTTGTTTGACAGTAAGTGATACCAAGGTTGACTGGGACTCTCAGCAATACTTCCTCTGAGTCCTTGGTGAGATGTGATTTACCTTCATCTTTAGCTGGATATATGACGCTTTAAAACTGTGTGTTATTAGCAGTATAAGTACAGCATCAGCACATTGCATTGCGTTGTGTTTTTATCTGTTTCCTCAAACATGCGTACCTGCAGAATTACATTGTTGCTTCAGCATCCAGTATATATGAAATTGTATGCTTGTTATGTTTGATCTATGGGACTTAAATCATTTCATAATAATTAAAACTAAAATATTCTAAATTCTGATTAAAAACAACCTTAGGAGGAATATTTCTGCAGTGTAACTGATTTTCCACACTGGATGAAATTTGTATTAGTGAGTGTTTGTCCTTGGATTACGGCATAATATGCACATGTGACTGCATACCCTCCCTCCTCAGAGTATTTGTGTCCAAAGGCCAAAATGTCCGACGCTCTGCCACTTCCATCACACACCACCACAGGGACTGGAGGAGTGTCCCTGAGGTACTCCAGAACTATGGAGATCACATTAGGACCTCCCTCTACAATCAGAGCCACCACTGGCACACCCTGACCAATACCTGCGAGAGTGGGAGCAGGAGAAACAGTGGGTGATGATAGAGAGGAAAACAGAGATGACCAATAAAGGGGAAAGAAAAGTGAAGAAGGAAAGGACAAGTTAAAGATAGAAAAAGACACAGGGAAGATAGTCATTACATCAGCAATACTTGAGCCATAAATAGAAAAACTCAATCCAACTTTGTTACTGACAAGGTGTAAATGTGAAACCTGTGATGTCTCACAACTCTATTGTCAAGACACTTTCTAATTATGGTAGAGAGGTTTTTTTAAAAAAAAAAAAAAAAAAAAAAAAAAGCACATGTACCAAAAATAACCAACCCACTTTGTGCTCTGTTCCAGTGGCTTGTGTGTATGAGAGAGAGCGTTTCACTGATAAACCCCCACTGTTCCACACAAAAATGGCTCCTTGCCTGCTCATCACAGGCTATTTAGGGTAATTATGCATAATTAGCAGGTGGGTTTTTCTGCATGAAGTGAGGCTATGTACAGGAGAAGGTACTGTAGATATGAAAATTATCGCTAAACTCTCAAAGGAATTTCCTGCCTTATTCTTGCTCCTGTCTTTCTAGCTTCTGGTTTCTTTTCCTCCGTATTCTCCTTAAGGTTCTCTTCATACCACTAAATATTGTCTTTAGACACCAGAAACCCTGTAAACTCCAGAGTCCCGTTCTCTCGGGTATTTTGACTCTTCTAATTCAAAAGCCGTGTAACTGTCGGATCTTCCCCGCCCTGCACCCTCTTCCTGGTCTGCATAATTCACTGAGGAAAAAACCATAGTCTGTGTCTCAAACACGCAAGCAGACGAGCACATACAAATGCGTGCTTACATACTGCCGTGTACACACTCACACAGACACAAGCACATGCACACATTCAGTAGCATACCCACCACCACTACACTTTGCCTCACACAGCCTCGTGTGGCCTTGCAACAGGGACAGTTACATAAGGAGAATATTTTAGGGGCCTTGCCTACTTCAAAGAGGTAAAACGTCATTGTGCCACAGCCACGTCACTGTGCCGACCATATATCAACAGGGCAAAATGTGAGAGAGAAGCAGACTAATGGCTTGCATTTTGTGTCTGATTCTTCCATTTCTTTTCGGTGTCTATTTTTGTTGTTAAAACCATGTGTCTATGTGTGAGTTTGCTGTTATGTCAGATCGAGCATTGATATTGATGACTAGTGAGCTTTGGAGGCAACGCTGCAGTATCTAAAGCAGATTATTGTTCAACTGAAACCCACCGAGGAGCAGATGAGGAGGGGAAAGCACAGCTGTGTCATGGCTAATTGGTAGGAGAAAATTCTGCCTGCCTGCGTGCACACATACACACATGCACACACAAACACACACACACACACACACACACACACACACACACACACACACACACACACACACACACACAAACTAAGTAACACAAATGCAGATAGCGGCACACACATATGTAAACAAAACCACAAATGAAGCAAGTTTCTCTTTTGCCTGACTACCCAAAAACAGCGGGCACATTTTCGGATGGCTTTTGACCTCCCATTCACAATTAGATTTTCTAATTAGCCACAGCCCTGACTTCCGTATTTATCCCTGTGAGGGAGTGGATGTATTAAAACATGGGTGGTGAAGCCAAACAATGTGGCCCATTTATTCCAATTAACGCTGCGAACTCAGTGGATACACCGAAAAGTTTTCTCCTGCTTCCAACTGTGGAATGACAACAAAATCATATTCTGATTCAGTTCCTATTGCTTTAAATTTCATTGAATCTTACGGTTATACTTATGATAATTTAGTGAGTAATCCCTCTTTGTGTGACGCCCAGGAAACTGTTAGTTTTAGTTTAGTTTTACAGACATTTGTATTCTAATGTATGCATGGATAAAGTTTTTTTTAGCTAAAAAAACATAACGTGAATTTCGATTGCGATTATCGCTAAAAACATCGACACAGTCCACTCCTCTTCCTGGAAGCTTGTATGGGAACTGAGGGCTTAAACTTACTGGTATTGATGCTCTTCCAAACTGCTGCTTCTACTGAACTTAAATTTAATAATGCTATTGTTAGAAAGCTGAGAGTGCTTTTAACTATTTCATCTATGGAGGCAGGTTTAGTGGTCTGAATTCTCCCTTTATAGTAAATAAAACATTAAGTATTTGAATAGATGCAGTGTTGTTACATGAGTCGGTACTTTCAGAGGAATACCTGTTGTTCTTGATGGAAATGTAATCCCATAAGTGAAATGCTAAACTGTTAAAGAGAATTTAGTGAAGATGCAATCCTTCTCTGGAGTTGCCAAAGGGCAGCACTGTTATGGAGTGGACCGTCCCCATACGTCTTGTACATGCACTGTGTCGATCACTGGCCACTATCCTCTAATCCTGCTCCTCCTTCCGCCCCCCATTCAAATTATGCTGTCACTGAATGGCAACAAAATGGAAGTGGGCTGCTGATAATACAAATACCTTTAAGTGAAATCTACATGGTTGTCATTGGTAAATCAAATTTTCACATGTATTTCTCTATTATTGATTTTTTATTGGACTTTTACCTGTTATTTGATCATTAAAAAATAAACAGTTAAGTCATACATGCCTATACTGCACCTAACATAACGATACATATTATGTACTGTAGATACAGGTTTTCAGATAAATATACACTCACACACGATATATTCTACTGTATATGCTGTGTACTACCTCTCACAGAGAATCTGGCCCACCCCTTCTCCTACACTGTATCCATGCACCATTCACACACTCCAACGCATCAGGTAACACAATCGTCAAATCCCTACTCTTACTCCTACTCTTTCTCTCTGTATCCCAGCCATAGTTTTAACCCAGTGCCCACACCTTATCTCTGAGGAGGGAAACTACCCTGAAAAGGTGTGAAAAAGCAGAGGCAGAAGAAGAGGAGAGAGGCTGTCGATGAGAATCATTGGCCAACTTTCTATATTTATCCAGCCTGGGAGACGAGGAAGTAACGAGGAACAGAAGGAATTAGGGAGGGAAAGAAGAGCGTGTAAGCAAGACACACATAACATGCTTAAATGGTCCTAATTAAGGATCCAGCAATGACTCATCCTCTGCATGCGTGTGTGTGTCAGTGAGTGCCTGGGTGTGTGCGAGTGTCTGCGCGTTTGTCCTTGTATGTCAAATTAGTATCAGCATGACTGGAGGTGTGTTACAGTATGTGGGTCGTTGTCTTCTCACCCCCCACCCCCCACCCCCCCCCCCCAAAAAAAATAAAAATACAAAAACACACTCTCTCACACTCACACACACACACACCATTATCCTAGCAACAACTAAAGCAGCCACGAAACATCACATCTGTGAGGGCAACTCGACTCGACAGGCTACAGAACAAAAGGTCAGGGGGTCCGGTACATTAAAAGGCCAAAGCTTCCCTCAAACTTTGTTTTTTCAGTTGCGTTATGACATCAGGATATCCTGCCGTTTTTGACCTACTCACAGGAATTGATTGATTCGGATTGCCTGTGCCAACTTTTTTACCAGCAATATGTGTCAAGTTGGAGTCGTACCAGGGCCGAGTGAGCCAGAGAGACTCAATCATGGATGGTGTCACTGACCAGTAAAAGGCATTTACAAGTGGTAAATTGGGGTTAAAGGAATTGATTTGTATGTTGATTTGTGTATGTGAGTCTGTGCGTATGTGCTTATGTAGAACTCTCTCACTATATGAGTTGGTATTTAGTGATGTAGAATATTAGACCCCACTTATACATAACCACTTGGATATCAAAAAAGCTAAGAGTAAATGCATTTGCAAGGGATTTACATCCAGTTGTTCAAACCACCTCTGATTCTCAAATGGTGTAAATGCATCTGTCTCTTCCAGACTCATATGCAAGCTTTACTCCTACTCCCAAGTATATCTATGACAGTAAGCGGTTTGTGGAAGCAACAGTAAACACGTTATTATGATAGAAATGCTTTGCAAATGGAAACTCTGGAAAGCATTAAATCAGGTTTATTGTATAGTTCGTAATCACAGTGCAAATCCCAAAGGGTCTGTAAGACTTATATGAAGAAACACAGAACATAGAAAAAAAACTGCTACAGTATTTGACTTATTTGATTGTTTAGTAGTGTGTATAAGCCATCTACCAGAACACTTCTCACCTTCCTACTACTCTTTTTTTTACCAGTCCTACGCTTCCAAAAGACATTTACCACAGTTCACACTCCTGATCATGCACTCAGATTCTTTCCACACCACATAACATGTTGTCATCCATGCACATCCTCAGCCTGGAACCATACCAGGAGCAAGTCTTGTATCCAACCCACTACTGACTCTCTCTCTCTCTTTATTATCTCTCCACCACAAGGTTTAACACTCTGGTGGTTCATGTTTATCATTTTGACATTTTTTGTACCCATTCGTGCTTGAACACACCTTACCCCAATGACTTCAATTGTCCCCACACTGTCTCTCTGCGCTTATTCTCATGTGCCCACAAACACTTTGTCTACTGATCCACACTCAGTGTCACTTCAACTCACTGATTTAACCATCATCATCAATGCAGTACCACCACAGTGATCAAAACCACTGAACAGAGGGATTATTAAAAATAATATTTATTTATGTGACTTACAGTGTGATGGTTTGACAGAATATCTCCCTTGTTCCTTATGTTTCTGTTATTTTCCCCTCCCTTGTGCCTCTGTTTGTCTCTGTCTCTTTGTGTGTGCGTATGTATTAGCCTGGGTGTGGCGATCCAATTTCCTCCTCCCACCGAGATTCCTGTGCATCTGCTGGCAATCATCTCAACAACTCCACCTGAAGTCTGCAGTATTTAAACCCTGGTCCTGCACTCCACTCTTTGCCTGATTGTAATGTGTCAACGGCCAATTCCCATGGTCTTAAGTATGCCTCATGTTGCGTGTTATCCTGGGAAAGTCGTTTTTTGGCTTCCTGTGCTTCAGGTTCACTGCTCCATGACTTCCTGATTTGCTTGCCACACTCAGTCCCTCGTTTGTCTCCTGTGACTGCTGAACGATCAGGTATATGCCTGCCTCACTCCATTGTCGCTCCTGGCTTAACTCCTGGCTCAGCTACCAGTTCCCCTGCCTGCCCCACTTCATCAGCCTTCCTAAAAGCCTTGCATGAAACAGTCTTTACTCTTACTATGTTTCTGAGTCCTACTTCTGGGTCCTGTACAATTGCAATGAGCTTAACACTTTTAAAAGGCTGAATATTAACTTTTGCACAACATAATTTACAAGCTTCACTCCATAAAACTGTCTTGCTATTTGTGTCTTATTTGACAGTCGCATTCAGCGGAGGGTGACATTTCCAGAGCAGATTCATACTGTGACAGCGCAGCTTTGTGATATGTGTCAAAGAACAAGAGCCACAGAGTAACCCAGTTGGTCACAGATAAAAAAAAAAAATGCACAATATTATTAGCTTTATCTAAAAAAATCAAGATTTCGTCCAGGCATTTATAGCGCTTGAAAGAAGAGCATTACAACACTCTTGACTCTCCATGTAACATAGCTTAACTATAAAATCTTCTCCATGGGCTGCTCCACAGTGGAGGTCACAATGTCACAGCTAATCTGCAACACAAGGTCTTATGGCTTCTGGATTCAATTACCCCAGCTACTTCATCTTTTACGTATGCTGTGATTAATGGAACCACTGCTATAGGAGGGTCAGTGAAGGTTACACAGTAGACACAGAGTTAAAACACACACATGCCTAAACACATGCCTATACCCATCTACCCATTCAATATACAGACTACTTATGTGCCCCTCTTAATATTTCCTAGTAATTTAGGTCAAATGAAAGAGGGCACACTGAAGGTGCCTCGTGCATTCTCACAGACTTTATCTAAACGTCCACAAATGTATAACTTTAATTCCTCTTTGAGCCTGGAATGTATATCAAATTTAAAATTGTGTTGCGCAAAAACAAAAGCGTGAATTTTTCTCTTGTTCAATCTTTTTTTACAATTGCTTATCGCACTTTTTCAAGAACTGCTTTATATATAATTATAACCCTCTCTGCAACACTCTGAGTCCCTTTTCCCAGCTTTCATTTTCTCACTCTCCTCTTTTCCTCTTTCGCTTTTCCTCTCTCTGAGGCAGGTGTGTGATTGAAAAGCATTATAGCCACTGCTGGAGACATGTCATAAGAGCTGTGCAGTGGGTGAGTAAGCTGTGCTAAATGATGCCAATATTCGACTGATTTTCTTCATGTTTGAGTTTGACGATGTCTGCTACCTTCAGAAGATGGTCTGAGGAGAAGCTCAAGAGAAAGACATACCCCAGAGTGTGTGTGATCATAATTGAGACACTTTTCTTTAAATCAACAATTACATTTGTATTTGAATGTTTATGATCACTGGTTATAAGCTCAGTCTCTCTATTCACACGTGAAGTGTCCTGTGCTGCCCAAGATGAATCCTTGTCACAGTAATCCAGGCTCATTTGCATCTGCATCTCTTTACGTGATCTATCAAGCTAGACCATGTCTGGGCGAACAAACAAGAAGTCCACGCACGTACAGCAGGGCACAGTGCTGAGTATTTACTCGAGCGTACAAATGTGTTGGCTCCATCCACAATATTTACAGCCTCCCAACCCCAGTTTCCTTGTCTTAAGATATTTATCTTGTTTACACCCAGCCAGCGCTGTCCCTTAGATACTCTTGTCCACTTTCCACTGAAGAGGGTTACAAAACCACAGGAGGTGACACCATCCCCAACATGAAATACACAGTAGAGAAAGCAGGGTATGCACAGGGAATACACATGTCTTGTTACCACAGGTGGTGTTAAGAGGTTTAGAAACTGGACATCTCCACTGAAGGCTTTTGACAGGTGCCATAACTTGCGATGGAAATGTGCAATCACCACAAATATCCAGTGGCAACAGGTACTCAAAATGTAGCAAGGTTTCAGACAAATGATCACAAGTTAGAAGAATTGTTAAGACACTGTCCGCAATATAACATTTTTCTTGAGCATAGTCAGACCAGAACACCTATACGTTTGTAATATAGAATTGATTCACATATTTAAAAACTATGTTATAATATTGTGGAGCCAATTTGATTGCTACAGCATTTTCGGCAGTCACATGATGATACCCGTTGCATGGAAAATTGCACACAGGCATAGGCACAGTAGGATTAGCTACAGGATTGCCCAGACATCACAAAAATACCAAAGGGGGAGATTACGCATATCTATCGACTGCACTCCTTTCATCTTATGTTTGTGTGCAGCGTGCGTGACTATATTTTAAGAAAAAAAAAGAAAAAAAGAGCTTGTGATTACGTGTGGTCTACAACCCACATGTAAGGGTATTCAAACTGCTTTCTTTCCTTTTTACTTTCTTTATCCTCCTTTCCTTGACAGGACCTCAAGCTACACTTAGATCCCACAGGAGCCATGCTGTGAGGAAAATTGATGTGCTCCTCGATTCACCGTGGACAGGTAATCAAATCAAGAAATGGTCCTTGTCTGCCAACCCTACAGCGGTGAATGGGGAAGTAAAGGATACGCACGTACAACAAGGTACAGTACATCAGACACAAAAACACAGTAATCGAACATTGGGGAAGAACATTTACTTGAGAAACTGTGAAATATAAATTCACACTACAAGAGAATAGAGTTGTGGCTAGTTTGTAGTAGTGTCTTTTTGGCGGTAACCCCTTTTGGGGATGAAGCTATCCCTCTGTTGAAAGAAAAGGCTTCAGGTTCAGAGCTCTTTTTTTCTTATGTTAAGAGACTTAACATTATTCATGGGCCTCAAATCTCACAGCCGTGAAGATTTAAAAGATTTCATTCACTTTCTTTAATTTCTTCTTTAATGTTTGGGTTTTGTAAAATCCACAAAATCCTGAACTATCTTACCTGGACAACAAGACTAGCTAGATTTATCACATCTTCTCAATCTAATTTAAATTAGTGCTCAGACAAACTGAGATAAACTTGCTTTGATTGTGGAAATGCACTCGCTTCACAGGTCACAGATAAAAGTACTGATTAACCTCATACTGTACAAGCACAAGTATTAGGATGATTTTAATCAGGGCTATACAATTATAAAGCTGATACAGCACTTCACCTGAAGCAGAAACTGTGGCAGGTGATAAAGCTGAAGCTGGTTATCAGTGTAACCTCAGACACTGCTGAGGTTAAGGTTATTCTGTGACAGAGTCTGGGTGATGGGTCTGTATTGTGGATGGTCAGCAGCAGATATACAGTATATGTAGTTACCTATCACCGTCTGTCACTAGTAGATCCCCATACGTATTTGTGCCAACCTTGGATCCAAATTAAGTTTGAAGAAAATCACACCATGTATTTAAATTAGATTTATATTGGATGCTTGTATGACTACTGGGCGTCCCTTTGCCTTCCCAGCCCCTTTTGTATGAGTCCAGGCATAGGATGACAAAGGGAAGTCCATAGGTCACATGACTGGATGATGGCCGAAGAACATTTGTGTATCCTGTCAAACCCAGGAACGTGTTTTCAGTCCCTGAAGTCAAGGCATTAGGAAGGATACAGAAGTGGTAACACTCATGCTTCATTCCAAAGAGTGACATTTAACAATCTGTTATAAAGTTCCCATCTGCAAACATCAGTGACAGTGAACAAAAATGGCGTTGACAAAGGGAAGGTTTGAGTCATGATATTACTCTTGACACTAACAAGCTATCCATTTGGTAACGCCTATTTCCTGACACTCAGTTTTTAAATAAGCATTGATGTTAAAATGTGTGTTTTCATGCCACCAAACCCTGAGGAAATTGTTATAAAACGGCTTTACAATGACAACAAAAGAAGGTAATAAATATTTCACAGCTGCAAACAACAATTTCTCTGACTCAGGTTTGCTCTGACACGCGAGAGGCTATTGAGAAATGTATTTAAATGGTATCAGAGAGGTGTGTGTGCGCTATTGTCTTTGTTTGAGTGTGTCTGCGACAGAGAAAAAGACAGAGAAATGCATTTTGTATTCATGCAAATCCATTTGGTTTCTAGCTAAGGTATAATGTGGAAATTGAAAATGGTGAAATGCAATGTGACAGGGGCTCAACGGCAGATGAACACTCCACACGAAGGCAAAAATGCGCATGTGCAGACTAAAATACACATGATTCACACTGTACCTAAACACCTACATATTTAGACAAACAAACAGGCGTTTAAATACACTCTTGCTTTATGGGCATAATTTACTACTGATGCAACAAATTAATTCACACATTTAAAGTGAAGACAGGGAACTGCACATGAATACAGAATAAAACAAGATTCTGTTGAGTTTCAGCAGTAGTGTGTTATAATATCCTGTTATTCGTGTGTCTGTCAAAATATACAGTATCAAATGAAAATAAAAATATAAAATACAGGAAAAAATACATCTGATGTACCTTGTGTGTACCTGAATGTACTTGATGTGTGTGTAGTAGACTAAATGTGCGTGTACAGTATGTGCACATACAGTGCTCGTGTGCTTGTCATCATGTTTGTTAGTTGGTTTGGTAGCTGCGTGCAGTGCCTCAAAACAGGAAGACAAGGATTATCAGCGGGTTCATTCGAGGAAACAGTTCATCGGAGCTGTCAGGAAGCTTTGAAAGAAACTATAAACCCGTCCTGAAGGGAGGGACAGTTTCAAAAGCTCATCAAGTTATATCACAGCTGGCTAAAAATACGCAGTCTGACAGCATGTGTTCACATTAAGCAGGTAATAACAATTTTAGTCTGGTTGAAGCTATAAAATAGACTATGAACCCAATTAACCTGCAGTGGTGTCATTGATAAAACAAGGATAATGGTATCATTATGCTGTTATCACTCGCTGTATTACTTTAAAACACCTTCTCTAATTCAGGGTATGTGGGTCAGTCTGGCAAAAGCCATGACGGACAGATACAGTAAATTCCACTCACGTGTGTTAATCTTCTGCAGGGAGATGTGTTTCTCTAGCTGCCGTCGCAGTTTGACCTCAGCGCCATACTTTCCCGTGGTGCCATTGTCTGCCAGGATGAAGTGGGAGTGGAGACTGTTTAGAACTGTCAACTTGCTCATCGGGTTGGACATGGTCTGGTATGGACGCACCACCTAGTCGAGAGAAGACAACATTTAACTATCATGCAAACATCAGAGAAGCCCATGGCTGACAGGGGATGGATTAATGATAACAAGCGCATGTTTTCTTAGCACCATTTATGCAGCCCAAAAAATTATTTTGGCAAATATTACAGTATGTTCTCATTTTCCAGAGCGCTTATTAAAGGAGAACTCTGCCAACTTTCTCTAGTTCAATTTACTTGCCATGGAGTATACTACTCAGCCTTGGAAAACAGTTGTATAATGTCCTCTGAGGCTCTGGAGGAAGCTTTCCAAAGTCTGGAAGGGGCTTGGAGGCTACAAAGTTTTAATAGCATGTCTAAGTTACAAACTGGGACATAGAGTCTGAAAGGCATAAGCATTTACCAGGCAGAGAAAGACGCTACGGGTTGCATCATGGGAAATGTAGGGTATATCAACATTTGATGGCAGAGCTTTTGTCAGGGCAATAAAGGATGTTTGTTTGATTCTCAATAAATAATTAAAAAAATTAAAAGACTGGATTCACCTTAACTTAACTTTTTTATAACTACAAGTTCTAAGTGCAAGAATAACTCAAAAAGAAAATACCCTGATGCGTTCACATAATCCATCATTTGAAACAACGCATTTTTTGAACTTGTATTAGAGTTACACTAAATTACACTAAAAGACAGTGATTTAATATTCATACAACATTAATGACAGTTTCTCAGAGCTTGGATTTGGTCTATTGGGCCTGCGCCTGACAATCTGAAGTAAACTCATCTGGCCATTAGGCATACAGTGAAGACCAATCAAGCATGAAAAAAGAGTTTCAGCACTTAATCATCTCATTTCAGCCACCAACATTAATCGGCTCTGCTTGACTTGTTCAGCAGGACAGAGTGCAGCTCATTCTGATGAAATTTTAACTATAACATAACATTGATTCCTGAGATTTGAATGAGTCAGCATGTGCTCCACATTCTCATGCGGTTCTGCCAGCTGTCCGACTCACTTTGAAGGAGTGTTTATCACAGACTGGATTGGCTTACTCAGCACCTCAGTTAATAAGCTGTCAACTGCAATTTAGAGGCTCTGGCAACTGTGGACTGCACGTGACATTTTTCACATATAGACATGCAAACAAGCGCTAGAGCATACACGTGCCCAATCAGTAACTGTTTTCATTGCTACATTATTGTTTGTTCTCAGAGACTTACATCTTTGCCAACAAGATCCTCTTGATTTTCTACGATACCCCATGGAGCAATGCCAATGGTGCAGATCTTGCCCCTTGACTTGGAGGCGTGGTCTTTCAGTGCATCACCCACATGGCGAATCACCCCTGTGTGTGTGTGTGTTTGAGAGAAGGACAGGGAATCAGATAACAAAAATCAGTTTTGTCAGGATCAATACACAGCCTAAACTTAGATAATGATACACTGCTGTGAAAGATTAACAGAATCTGTTAGGCACAGAAGACAACAGCACGTCAGCCAATTACAAAATACACATGGACACATACACACAGCATCGAACACAGATAGGTGTTAGCTCCAAGCCTCTAGTTGTTGTCCTCAGGGAGGCAGCAGTCAGACCTGGAGGCCATCTTATTCCATCTCTCCTGCTGACATTATTCCATCCACCTCTACCCTCAACTGTCCCTCCAATCCATCCCTCCATCCATTATTCAGGTCTCTCTCTTCCTCTTTCTTGCCTCTGCACCCATTCTGTCACTAAATCTTACTTTCTATTTCTTTCTGTATTCAAGTGTGAGCACTCTACAGGATCCAATGATGTATCATTTATCTTTATCTGTTCTTAACTCTACTATTAAACATTACTGTCCCATATTTTTTTCTTATTTCAAGCCTTATTGTGACATAGAAACAAGGCAAGAACACAGTGGACTGCTACATTGAAGACAAAGTGAAATAGCTTCATATATTATATATATTGATACGAATTCCACTATCAAGACTAGTGATAATGTTTGACCAAAGTTAAAGCTAGGTAATATGAGGTCTATACGATCCCAGTATATAAAAACATATTCATTTTGCAGCGTAGTCAATTATTTTAGTATCATCATGCGGTAATTGTTGATATTAGGTTTCAGGATACTACACTTAAGGTAATATGTAAATTATATCCAATGTATTACACATGTATATTTACCAATTTTAAGACATGACACCACTATCCACAGCTAACCAAGATTGGAAACATAGTGGAGCTCAACTTCAGTCACAGAGACTACTTTCCATATGCATGATAACTCCATACTTATGCATAATTCATGTGCTGTCAATCTGTCAGCTGATGTTTCAGTTGGCCCTATTTTCATTTCAACTGATTTTATTTTGTCACACACACTTCTATCCAATCATCTCATTGCTCTCAGACTGTCAGAGAAACTGTTTCTGGGCTGCTTTTACACTTCCAAACCTCCACCTCCTATGTTTAAGATCCAGTTCACTGAGCCCCTCATAAATCCTGCTCCAGGCCAATTTCATCCAGCTACTCAGTGTTTTCAGGAAGAGATCTTCTTAGGCGCCAAAGTCTTAAGCCGATCTTCTCCACACCATCAACTCCTCTAGGGGAAAATCCCATTTTGCTTTCAGTAGGTTACCACTCCATGAAAGGTATAAGATTATGATGGGCCCTAATTGCCTCCTGAGTCATTTCTGTCACACAACTAATGAAACAATAACTCTTCTCACTTTTTGTTCAAATAGTCTTCCTTGACTAAAATACAGTTTGCAAAATCAAGTGCACCATTTGGTCTAAATGAGGCATCCTTTTATTGACTTCCAGTCATGAAAATAAGCAGTTTTGACTCGCTGACACCATTTTCATTCAAGATGCATAAAATAAAAATGGAAAACTATCCCTTCACCTGTCAGATTATGAATGTCTGCATCTGTAGTTAAGTGCTCATAATATACCTTAAAGAACCTTTTGCAGGGATCCAGTAGTTGAACATCTTTACAGCCCTGAGGGGCCTAATGAATGGTTATTTAATAGCAGATAATTCATGAGGAACATTTGAACACACTCATTATACTCCTACTGCAGCACAAGTATGTGGCCACCCAAACTGTATAAAAAGAAGTGAGGCTGGTTGGTGGTTCAAATAAAATGTCTCAGTGATTTTTTTTTTTATCTTCAAAATAAAGTGGCCTATTTTTTACTGTAGTTTACCTGTGTTGACCCCTCCAGTGAATATCCAGGCTCCTGTTGTCATGGCAGCCTTGATGAGCCCTTTGCCAAAGACCTGTTTGAGTTTGGGTTGTAATTCGAAGTTCTGCAGGCCCCCATGGACTGAGATGAGCAGCTTGGGCAGGTCCAGCTGCCATTCCTTGGTCATCAGGTGGAGCAGCAGGTCAGGCTTGGTGTCATAAGACACTCGCACGTACTGCGAACATTAAGGAATGCGTCAGTGATGTACAGTAGCACATCTGCTTCACCCTTCAAGCACATAAACACATAAACACACATGGATACACATACAGTATTTACATTTAACACGTTACAAGAGCATTACACATCAAACAAATCTGTGATGTGGAGGTAAAATAACGAAATTGAAAAATATTACATGGACCAGTGGTGAAGACCTGCCTGGCTTTCATTTTTCATGTTACAAAAAGTATTGAACAGATGTTTATTACGACTGAAGAACCATGTGCATTATGGAGCATCTGTTTATCAGCAGCTAATTCGCTCTCAGACACCCAACCTGACATGTGTCTGGATGAATAATTTAACACTGGGAATAAATCAGACATAATTCAGTCTTAATCATCTGAATTCCAAGAATGCTGGAGTACGTGTGATGTGATTGTGTCAGCATGATTAGACAAAGACAGTGACCGTGTGAATGGTATGAACAATCAGACTACTTTTGGGATGGATTGATAAATCAGGCAGAATTTTACCTGCTGCAGCCTCCAGACACTTATGTCTTTTAAATCAATAATTATATGTAATTACATAATAATTATACTCATTTAACTGATTTTGCTGTTATCTTCAGGCATTTTCTACATATGTGTGATGCCTTTTAATTTGTTCTGTGATTGAGGAAGACACACAAGGACTCTTGATGAGCTCTCTTTGCATGTGAACTGTGAATGAAGTGTATTACTTAACAAAAGCTTGGCAGTGATTGACTATCTTAAGAAGCAGGGTTTCTGCAGGACACGTAACAAAATGTACTACGTTGCATTTTGTCAGAGAGTCACCATGGCTTTGTTGGAGTGTCCTCCTCCCTGGAACTCAATGGTACCAAAGGCATCAGTGGGACTGAGCTGTGTGTGTTTACTGATTGACCACTTCTCCGCCAGGCTGTCATTCTTGGCCAAACGCTCTGCCTTATCATTTTGACTAGATGAGATGCCCGGGGGCAGGCCCACATGCTGACCTATCAGACGACCACAACAGCACCTGGATGAGAGGAGAAAGTAAGAGTGAATGTAGGATTGGTATATTACACACTCCTTCACAGAGAACAATTGAAACCTTGAGAGGTCTGAGCCCCAAGCAAAACTATTGTAACATTGAGAGGGAAAAAAAAACAGGGTGACACAGAGGTTGTGTGTGACTGAGAGAATGAGAAAAAGAGTGTGAATGCTGCTGCAGTCATGTGCCTAGCAGTGAGCGGTGGGCAAGGCTGAAGTGACAGCTTGTCATTTGACTTTCATCTCCTGACAGGGAGGAGAGGAAGAGAAGGATCTGTGGGCCCCTGCAATCTTGTATTGGCTCTGTCTCTTTTTGTTTTCTGCTCTTCACAAACCTCTGTCTATCTCTTTTCCTTGTTCTCCTCTCCGTCTCCCTCTTGGCAACTCAAGAATTAGCAGAATGACAGTTATGTGAACTGTAGTATTCCTACGCGAGTACATACCTATTCAGATGTACTGAATGCAGCTTTCATACTCTGATTTTTTAACCTTACAGGATGGAGTGGGAGCCCTGGGAGGAAAGGAAGTCAGGATGCTTTGATAATCACTTCATGTTTCCGTCATCTTTCACCAAACGCACTTTTCCTCTCTCTGCCTTACGTGTCAACACAAGGGTTTCTGACTAAAAAGAGAAAAGCTGATTTGATCTTGAGGAACATCTCTTTCCCCTCCTCCTGCTCATGCCTTCCACCCGCTTTCCTCTAGTTATGCTAATTCTGTTTAGCTAACAAACAGTGGCATTTCCTGTGTGTGCGTGTGTGTGTGTGTGTGTGTGTCTGTGTGTGTGTGTGTGTGTGTGTGTGTGTGTATGAGGTTGGTACTGCAGGAATTACTTGAACTTAACTTTCTGAGTTTGTCACTTGGGTGACAAACTCAGCTGTAGTAAGGATTTTGATAACGTCACCAAGACAGTGTCTTTGCAGAGCAAAATAAGATGAACACTGGGATTGGAGATAGTGAGTGTTTTATTTTCTTGATGTGCACTTATCATTACAATCCTGTTACAAAGTCAGTATTATACAGACAAGGCCCTTATAAATGTGTTTTCATATACTGAGTGGAAAAGATGTATGCTCCTGTGGGCTCTATCTTGACTGTTGCTTAAATTAATAACCGTTTAAAATGATGTGAAATATTTTACTGTCTTTATGAACTGACCTGACCCTGGATTTCACTAATGTCATCATATTTGTGGTTTTAAAATTTGTAATGTTGGTATTTTGGCTCATTGTTGCAGAGGATCTACCTGTGATGCAAATAGAGGGCCAGCGTGATATTCATCTGAGGCTTGCTTTAAAAGGTCAATAGTTAAAGAGGGCTCTTAGTCTGTTATATGTGAGGCGGGCTATCACATTAGCTACAAGCCACTAGGGTTTGGTTGCATTTACAGCTAATAATAAAGCAGCTAAATCATAAATATGTAGACTTAGTAGAAAAACATCTCAGATCAGAGAACACAGTAATGTAATTTACATGTAGTACATTGAGATTTTTGACTTTTACTTTACACACATTCTTACTCACCTATGGGGGTCTTTGGCGCTCACTATGATATGAACACATTCTCTCTTGCTGAATGCTCTCTCTATCCACGATTTCTGTGCCTGCAGAAATGAAGACAGAAGAACAGTCAGTGTTTGTGAGATAATGGAGCTGTATCCTGAGCATGCAGCAGTGACAGCTGGCAGACAGCAGGAACAGGCTCATATCATGACCAGGCCTGCGCTTCACTGTAGAGTTCACCTGTGACAGAAAATGTTTTCTTGTCCCTTCCAGAGAAGAAGGGTTGAGCTCAGCAGCCATTTATTGTGTAAAATGACACAGTCTGAGCCTTGTTACACAGAGACTTATCTGCCACAGTCTATTTCCAGTCCAGTATTGGGGAATGGCAAACGGAGCATACACCATGAGATGCTGCATCTAAAGTCTAAGAAAAATAAAAAGTACTAAGAAAAAATCTGAATCAGAAATTTAAAGAAAAAACAACAATTTGGTTTAAGAACAACTAGAATTACCAGCTCGCAGTTGTATGCCTCTGCCAACCAGACCAAAAATGTGTTTTGTGAGGTCACAGTGACCTTGACCTTTGAGCTTTGACCACCAAATTCAAATCAGTTCATCCTTGAGTCCAAGTAAATGTTTGTCTGAAGAAATTCCTGAATTCCTCCCTGATGTATCACATTCAAGAGGCCAAAACCATGTTTTGTGAGGTTACTGAGATATTGTGTTCACAAGAATGGGGCAGACGGACGGACGACCCGAAAACATTACGTCTCCACCCATGGTTGTTACCGGCAGACACATCACACACACCCAAGATGCAGAGTCCCTCACACATAATTCAAACACTGAAGACATCCTGACAGAAATGTTTTATGTTATTCAGTGACTCTAGCCCAAACCGGATGAGATAAAGCGCTGGGAAAGAAAAAGCGGATGTAAAATGCACTGAGGCATTAAATTGTGTCAGAGTTCCAGTCCTTAGATACTCCTATTGGCAGCCAGCTGAGTGTGTGTGTGTGTGTGTGTGTGCGTGCGTGTGTGCGTGCGTGTGTGTGTGTGTGTGTGCACTTTTATATGAGAAAGCATGTGTATGCATTTCTATATGTGCTTTTTCCTCTTATATTGCATACAGTATAAAAAGAATTCCTCAGCATAATGCAGCCAGTGGAATGGTGCATATGCGAGACTCTGATCCTCAACATTCACATCTGCTGCAGGTCTAAGTGACAGAACGACTGACTGGAGCCAATTATCCTGCTACACACACAAGTGGAAAGATACTTTTGAGCCATAGAGCCAGCCTGGGATACACATGCAGCACAGGATTAGAGACTAATACACATCTGTATTGACGTCTGCACACATGCATACATGAATTCTTCATAAGTGTAAAAAAATTATCCATAGGGGACAAAAGGTGATATTCTGTTTGTAGAGAAATCCTCTCTGACTTAATAAGAAAGGGAACAGTATCTAGAGTCTTATGATAAAAAGTGAAAAAAATAGTAAATCTGCTTGTTTTGATAAACATTATATCATCTATGACTCTGTGAGCTTTATCAGTGACTACAGAGTTGTGACAGCACTGAACCATCTCTGGTAGAGTTTACAGTGACCTGTAAATAATAATGTGGTATTGTCACAATAGATAAGTGTAAGTTAAATGTCACAAGGTGAAATACTACAGCTGAATCTTTTTTGACATTTGCTTTATATATCCCACCACAACGCTAAAAACAAAAACAGTGCTGTTTTGGTGGCATCTGCCTGTTTGTGTGTCTGCTTTCTATCACAGGTTGATGCTACAGGAGAGAGACACTTTACATTATAGACACCTGCCTGCATGCATTTGCATATATATACAGTATATATTTAAATACAGTAGCACCATAACACTTAAATTGCATTGTTAGTATATGTTTATGTTTAGCTAACACAGTATATTAGGCAGCCAGGAACCTTACAAACCAGATACATTTTATATACTGAAGTTTTTTTCTAAATTTTTCCCTTCACTGAGAAGTTGGGAGCACAATAAAGGGAAAATATTGGAATGAGTTTTTACTTCAAATAAGTAAAATTCCTTTAGGGTTGACAAGAGGCAGTTATAAGACTGTTATCTTACTGTTTTTGGACAATTTTTTTTTTTTTCTTGCACATCGTAACATGTGATCATTGTCTTTTAGTTTCTTTTTTTGTCTGTAAAGCTTTCATTTCTTATTATGTATTGATTAACAGTGCACATAAACAGAATACAGTAAAGAAAACAGTTATGTATTGTATTATGTATGAAGTAAATGTTCTGTTTCTGTGATTATGAGAAAGTTACCCTCTGCCATTTAAATGCACTACTTTTGACTCAGCTCTTTGTGGTTCAAAGGTTGCACTTCCTGGGTTGACACCGCCATTCCAGGAAGTGGACTATGTCTGTGTGAGGTTTTGTGGCGACGGAGCACAACACCAGAGGTCCAGAATAGGGCCGAATGTCACAATGGGACATTCACAGACAACCAGGAGGACACACAGACCAGACTCCCAAACCCACAGCAGAGGGAACGCAACAGCCGTGAAAACAAAAGGACAGAGCTTTTTTTCTGCTTTTTATTCTGGGAGAGCAGCCCCGGCTCTTCTCCCAGCCAGCAGAGCTGAGAGCTGCTTGTACAGGATTTTCCCCACCACCACGGCTACAACAACACACGCCCCATCCGCCTGACTGGCCCTGTCACACCACGGCACGCCAAAACCCACCGCATCCGGCCACAAACAGGCTGAGCCTGCACACAGGCACACTTACCCTAACACCAGACTTCCCACGATTAACCATTACTCTGGGGGGCTGGGGGGCTGCTTTTAGAGATCACCCTGGCCACGATGACTCAGCAGGCCACAACAACGCCCCCAGCCCCATTCTTTCTCTGACATGCTAAAACTGTGTATTCATCCGCCAGCTCATCCTTGCACAAACTAGATCCATTCAGTGCTAGCAGCAGCAGATGTTTTTAAAATTGATTACTATTGACAGGGCTGATGGCAAAATCACAGTCACACAACACCAAAAGCCTTTTGTGTAAACCCCAAATAAACCCCAAAAGAGGAACCACAATCGCTCTAACCCAGAGCATCCAAGACAAAGATTTCCTTCACTTTGTAACCCCATCTTTTGCTCCACCCCTTTCTTACCCTTCCATCTTTCTTTTTTTTCATCGGATGCGGTATATACATTTTCTCACTGTCTCATACAGTTGCATCTCTTTCTCCCATGCTCTCTAGTGTCTCTTATGAGATTTGACATGGTATGATGAGATGGCACATGGCCTGCACGGCATTGTGTAATTAAGATTTATCACCGGGGCGCACTCACATGCACACACACAGGCACAAACATTGGATTGTGTGTGCAAGTGTGTTTGTGTGTGTGTGTGTGAAGAGTGAATGTGGATCAAGTGAGCAGCATCTGACAGACTGTTAGGGGTCTTGACTCCATTATACTCAACCTCCACCACCACCACCACCCTTTTCTGCTTGTTCTCTCTCCCCCCTCTTATACTATTGTAGCTCCTCTTTGTTATTGGCACTGGCAGGGAGCGGAATTGAGAACCATATCCAATCAACAGCCTAATCTCTCTGCTGTCTCGCTTTTTTCTCTTTTACCTTTACCACACATGAATGACTCAGCTTTTACATGGGCATATCAGTGGGCATGTGGGCAGCCTGTGGCACTTTTAAATAGAGTGCATCTACATGTGCATTAGTATCCTGATTTTGAACTTTATCCTATTTTTGATTATATTCAGGATATGACATTTACATGGAACATAAGTATCCAGGTTTCTGATTGTGTGCTTGCTGGTGTGTCTTGATTTCTAACATCTCAGACACTATATGAGATGGTTCAGAAACCTGGATAAGGTTCTATCGGAGAACTCAAGGTAGTACATCCAGATTTCTAAAAACTGGGAGAAGATCTTATCCCTGTTACTGAAACCAGGATCAATTTTCAACATGTACAAAACATAACCAGCTTACTCCAAAACCCGATGTAAATGCACTCATGGTTTTACCATTAAATATGAGTGTCTTCTTTATCAAAACCTGAAACACTTAAAATGGAGTAATATACATACTGTCACAGCACCCAAATCCTCCCTTTATTTTGCTGGTACATTGATTCCAAAGAGTGATTAAAGATAAATCATCATCATTCCTCTTGTGCCGAATTAAGTCTTCATCCTCTCTTTGTGCGGCTCTTCATTTGCTTCACAGTGAATTTGGTTTTACTGCCAGACAAGTAATTAAAGTAGAAAATAGAGCTGTTTCCTTTTCTCAACTGCATCATGATTTCTATTTTTGGTTCACTTTGATTTTACATGTATCAGAAATGATATTTTAACTCGGAGAGCCATTAAATAAAAAAATAAAAAAAATCTCAGTAGATGGTGATCACATACATGATAAATACGGTTGGTCAGGATGGTTAGACCACATATTTTCTTCTCATGGTGCATTTGATGCACTTAAGGGAAAAATGGCGGAGTCAAGATCTAAACAAAGGACAGAACCCACATCTTAATGCATATTTAGTTCTTATTCTTATCTATTCCTATCTGAGTAAATCGTCGGTACAGTACAGTTCCTTACATCCAATTATTCACCATAAAATGAAAGGAACTGATGAAATAAGACTCATGTAAACACCAAAAATAGATATTTTAAAAAATTGATTTACCCTCAAACAGAGCATCCAGCTGAGAGACAGAAATTGATTTCCACAACTGGAGGGATTCTAGTTAAGATTTTTAATAGTAGACTAAGTTTACCCAATTAAACACCAAAAGTTTTGACGTCAATAAGAAGGTTTTTTTTTCAGAGCAAAAACTGTGAAGTACCTGTGTCTGATGACTCACCTGTATTTTGTGATGGGTTGCATTGTTGTGGACATCATAATCAAGGTAGACAGTAGTGTTAGAGGCATGATCCTACCTAAAAACTAAAAGGCACTAAATGAAACTGATCAGTCCACCTCTCGGTCCACAGGCATCTGGTCTACTCTGGGACGATTAGCACTGCTGGAATGTGTATATGTGTGTGTGTGTGTGTGTGT